TCCGCTCCCCCCCCAGGCCCTCTCCACACTATTGCCTGTGTCCATAGGTTATGCATATATGCATATAAGTTCTTCGATTAATTCAGATTTAAACTTCCAGCCTAATTCCTTGCTAAGTTACTCCCCGCTGCCCTCCACAAAGCTGTTACCTTTGTGGTCATCGCCACTTTTTCTCGGCTCTCTTGTTCATGTGTATGTCTCATCTGCTAATCGGTGAGTTATCTGAGGGGAAAGAGCCCAGTGTTATTTGCCATATATCTCCTAGTAGCCGCATGTTAGGGCTTCATAACTATTTTTAAATGAATATCTGAAAACATCTAGTCCATGTTTTTCACTTTTTAGATGAGAAAAATGAAGCCTTTAGAAATTCACTCATCTTTTTAAGGCTGTTTTACTAGATAGTACTAGTTAAGTATCAGATTTCTCTACTGTTATTTAAAAGTGTTACCCCCTCCCCACCCGCACTCTGTGACATTTTACCTAGATTAAGAGCCTCGAGATTTGATTTTGGGTGGGAGCTCCAGCGCTTGGATTGCTGATCCTTTGTCATGCAGAATTCTCCAAGCCCTAAAAAGGGTGGGTAACATTTGACCTTCACCCTTCGGGTGGATCAAATGTGAACTGAATGTAAAGATGCCTTCTAACTATAGTGCTGTAGAAATGTAAGTAAAAATAAGTTTTTAAAGCAGGGTAGGTATGCGGCTGTAGGTGAGCTGCTCAGATTTCGGTTGCAGCCTGCGTCTTCCCTAGAACCTTCCATGCTCTCACCCCCTTTCCTGATTTCCTCGGAAGCTAATCTCTTTAGTTGCTGCCTTTACCTTCTTAGCTCCATTCATCAAAATATAAATTATGGGGTTTATGTAGAATCCAGGGCCATGGCAAACTCCTTGAGCACAATCACTGTGTATGTTCATTTTTAGAATTTCCTTTCACATTTATTACAAGACCTGGTCGCCTGGAAGATCATTGGACTTGGAGTCGAAGACCTGAGTTTGAGTCTTGGTTCTGCTACTTTACTTGCTGTGTGATCTTGGGCAAATCACGTAACTTCTCTGATCTTCATTTTTCTCATCTTGAAACGTGAGGTTAATAATACCTACTATTTCTCGGGATTCCGGTGAGCGTTAAATGAGATGATATAAGTGAAAACACTTTGTGTGTTAAATGCTTTGCAAGTAAAAGCACGAGTGTAAGATAGAAGGTGCTCCGTCATACTTGCTAGACTCGTGAACCGTGCGTGGTTGCCTCTGGCCACGGGCAGGGCAGCACCAG